ATGAACAACCAACCCATGTAACAGCCCCCTCTATAGTGAGATCAGTATCAATACAAATTGGTTTTTTCAAAATCACATTTTCCACAGATGCAGTCACTAGTGTTAATGACTTTAACTGTGCCATCATCACTGGAACAATGCTGTAAATTACATGATTTGATTAATCAAATATTATTAACTCGTGAAATTACATTGAATATATATTATTGTTATTGTTAATCAAATACAAATACGTTCAATGATGCATTTCTATATTCGGAAGCTTTTATTGAAACATGTCTTAATTCAATCACATAAACTTAAAACAATCGATAGATATAAATATATGTATTATTTGTATAATTCTATAATTAGTATATAATTTATATATACTGAATAGAAAAAATAAAAAATGAATCTAACGGATTTTTTATATAAAGATCACAATATCCAAATTTATGGGAGTTACAACTTTAACAATCATTAAGAAGGATAATTTAGTTTTTAGTCAATGGAGAACTAATTAAAGTCTGTTCTTATAATTTCGTGCTCAATCAAATTAAGACACGTAAAAAATAGAAGAAATACCTTATACGATATAGTTCCAGCCAGAGCATCCATATCTTCTAACAACTTTTCAATTCGAATCTCATTCATCGGGTTCCTATACCGCTCACGGAGAGCATAATCCGAAGAAAATTTATACAAAACGCCAGTCCTGCTCACGGACGGCGTTTTAGCGATCAAATGATCATCATTTGCGGAGTTAACGGAACAGCGTGATGATGAAGAAGAAAGAAGAAGAGAGAATTGATGAAAGCCTCCAGAAAATACTCGATCGCGCTTCCCACACCGCGCTTTTAACAGGCAGATGGTTTAGAAATAACAGTAAATTAGCATTTCGGGATTATTGATGGTGGATCGGGTATTGGATTTGGTGCAGCTGAAAAATACCTCGTTTGAATGAATTGCGAAGTGAAAATGGAAGAAACAAAAGTATCTTTTTCTTCATTTTGAAGAAGTTTTGAAAAATTAGAGGTTTTTGGGGAGTTTTTCATTATTTGGTGCAAAAGAACATAGCAGAGAATGACAGAATTGAGGAGGTTGATAGTAGTAAGAAAAGATTGGAAATTAAGGATTGACAGCTCGATGAAATTAATAATGTTTACTTATCCGTGAAGAAATTAATGAAATGTGTATGTATATATAGAGTTAGTTACTATGTTAGGATATGGCTTCCAGGCCGGGGGGCACACGGTCATAAGTAGCCGGGATGTTGATATTCTGGCAATTATCACCCCAAACACGCACTCATGCGGCATGTTGGCTGCTTGGGAATGGCCATGATCTTGGCTCGATACCGTTTATTAGGATCGACGCTTGTCCTTTGTAAAGGCATGGCCGTATGATGAGCCTTGTTTTTATTTGCTTAGCCAGCGTGACGACGTCGTGTTCAATCATGACTTCAGCGAAATTTGGTCTCGTGGAGTGCTCCGTAGACGGGATGTTAGCGTTACACGGCAACGCTCTTAGAAAATATGAAATTAGCTATGAAATTTGTCATTAATTTCCGGTTGATCCATCGCTAAGAATCTCCAAACTAATTAAATTTTCTTATAACCCATCACTAGTTCTTAGCTAAATGGGATTAGCATAAAATTTTTATTATTTAGCTACAAAATTTTATCCGATCGCTAATTTTTTATTTTCTAACAGTGTCAGAGAGAGAAATTAAAGATGCATGTGTATTATTATTATTTGGTCAATGTGTATGAAAGTGTAGGTGCTGTTCATCATAATTGAGGGGCGTTGAGAGTCGTTAATAAATCATGTTAATAACGTAAAATATAAATATTATTTCCTTCGGTTTTTAGTTATCAGATTTTATATTATGTTTTTAGAAAATTATAATTATAATTTGATTAATATATCTCTTATTAATTCTTTAATTTATAATATATTAAAAAAATCATAAATTTTTTTTTTTAATTCTAAACTTTAAAATATACATTAAATATTTAATTATAAAATTAAAAAATTGAAATATTTAATTTAATTTTTAAATTAATAAGTATTTAAAAATATTTATTTAATAACGTGACAACTAAAAAGAGGGAAGGAAGTAACATCAATAATTTTATAAGCCTTTATATAGATGTGTATACCGAATGAGTTTGCACCAATTAATATGTGCCACCAAAGAACCTTTAATTAATTATTTTCTATGCTTCAATTTATATGAAAAAATATAATACAAATGCTAAAATATTTAATTTTGATCATGCATTTAGGTATATTAATTTTTATAAATAAATTTATATGTTAAAAACTACACAATAAAGTATTACAAATCCTATGGCTAATTAAATAATATTTTTTCAAAAATAAGAAATTATAGTTTAAAAAAAAGATTATTGATTCGCAATAACATATATAACATAATTTTACTTTTATCTAAACTGTTTTAGATGATTTTTCTCTTAAGTGAGAGTTCATTAAAAATTATCTTTTTATCTTTAAGGTAAAGATAAAATACGTGTATATTCCATTTTTCGTCAAACTCCATTTTATAGGTATACTAAATATATTATTATTATTATTATTATTATTATTATTATTATTATTATATAATAACACGTTCACGTAAAATAGAACTATTGGAATAAATAGTAGCTTAAAAATGGGAGATACGATATCATAGCCTTTCTGTATTTTCTAATCAACTTTGTTCTACACGTTGTTTGATTAAAAAAGACGCCATGTGTTAGAATATTCGCCACAGGTCCTTTTTTAATGAGTTTTCATTCTTGCATAGTGGTCCACTGTTAACAGTGACGAAGTCAAATATTTCGTTAATGATGTTAATTTTTAATATATATTACATATATTTTTATATACGCTAATATAATTTTTTAACTTGAAATAATATTTAGCGGTAAATCTTATTATATATGTGGCTTTGCCACTGACCGTTAAAGAGGAACTTAACATTTTAAAGAGGAAATATTTGGGTTGTATCATAATAACTAGAAGTCGGGGATGTTGAATAGTGAATTAAGTGAAAAATGATATTGTAATTCGAATTCAATGGCTACTCGAATTAAAAAAAGTTTTGGTTGAAGATTATTCCATTAATTAATGTTATTACGTAATGAAATTGGAGTTGGAGTTGATCGAAGATGGTTGTGATAAAATTTGATTTCAATTAAATTCTCAATCTATGTTAATTTCATATGGCGATGTTAAGTTTTTTTTATAAATTGCAAAATACGCGCATATAATTATTTTTCATCGATACACCATATTATTTTTTATCATTCATTCCCTTTCAGATTCAGTGGTGGTCTTCCAGACTTTACGTATACTCTTTCTCCCCCACCCCCTCATATTTCTTTAAAAGGTGGCTAAGAATATGACATTATAATGTGTAAGCAACTTCCTAATAATGAATAGCATTTGGCAAGGACCCTTTGCCCCCTTTGGAAGTTGCTTAAATATGTAAAATTAATTTTGTTAATTCATTGAAAATTATCTTTTTGCTATTATTTTCATTTGGTAAGTTATGTATATATTATTCAAAATAAAATGCAAAATATTTGTTTCATAATGCTATTTTTTAAATCTAGAAATTGGATCCTTTTCTTAAAAAATAAATAAATTATTATCAATGTCTCATTTCTAAGATGATCGAAAGGTTTGTGTGTAAAGAACATATATATGATTGACATAATATTTACGTTTGAATTAAAAAAAAACACATAGAAAAAGATATTTGTCAAATAAAGGGTCAGAATTAAAATAAATACCGATTAAATTACAAGTATTTAACTCACATTCTATTATTAGTAAAAGAAGAAATTTTTACCTCACCTCAAGACTACTTATTGGATTATCCAATTTGAACTTCAAACTCGCATATCTGAAATTGATATAAAACGATTAAACTTAATTGTGGTTGTGTATAAATTTCGACTATTGTTAATAGGACTCTAAAGGGCTATTTATGCACTTGCTAAAAAAGCACAAGACGAGCCCAAAGCCCTTATCCAGTTCATTCAGATCCATAGCATTCATCTCCTAAGCCCATAATCATCCATCCCAAAAGCCCATATTACTAACAACTACTTTCCCATTTATATAATCTTATATATGAAAAAATTACATAGTTATCTCATCGGAGCAAATTATTTACAGCTTGCTATTTCTTTGCGTTCATACCCCTTTAATAAATTACGAGAAAATATCTCAAATACACGATCTTTATGATACAGATCGTAGTATATTCGTATCTTGTCATGTATCACGAGGATAAGCCGATTCTTTAAAAGGAATACACCATACTTGTTCAATTTATCTATTTCAACTTGGATCCCATGAGGTGGACCTTGAAAAGTTTTAACATAAGCAGGAGGGATTCGTAGATATTTCAGATGTAGAGCACGCGGGACTCTTCAATCTTTCATGATACAATCATAGTATATTCGTATATTGTCGTATTGGTATCATTGAAAATCGGCAATCATTCGAGATTCACTCCTTAATCATGCATGATATCATATTCATATAATGCCATGGTATCTTGGTAATACGAAAGGTCTTCAAATTTATGCGAGGCATGAGTTATAGTTACTTTGGGCCAATTAGATATTTAATGAATAATTTATAAGAAACAATCCATTTTAATATGATTAATTTAATTTTTATGGTCTATTTGTGGACTTTTCGCTGTTTTCTTTGATTTGAACTAACAAAAAAATTCAGAACTAATGAAAAGCCAGCTGGTAAAATTTGAGAATATATATATAATACAAATAATTAGAATATAGGTAACTACTATAATCTTGTCTCATTGGTAATACTCAAATAAAACTTTGGAAAAAAAAAAATTAGCAATTCTTTAATTCTAAATTTCTAAATATTAAAAAAAACTAAAATTAGTTATTTAAAATATTTAAATTTAAAATTTATGAGTTTTGAATCATCATTTAACGAAGCTATTAGATAAGCAAATGTGGTACTTTTGCTCTCGTTGAGAGTCGAACTCAAGACCTCCCTTACCCCTAAACAGGGTCTCTAACCAACTGAGCTACGAGAGCTTACACATTATGCATTTGAGTATAAATCCTAAATAGATATTAATTAAATAAATGCCAATTTTTAAATAAATTTAGTTTCCTAGAACTTTGATTTATTCTTCTAATGGTACTTATAACCTGTTTGACCAAACTTTTGGGAGTCCAAAGTACTTATCTTAAAAAAGTATGTTGTTTAACTAAGTTATTGGGAGAAAATAAGCGCTTCCCAAGAAATAACGACGGTGTCGAGATCGACGGAAACACGGTGCTCGCCAAAAATATTTTCTAAAATTAATACTATAGCTCCATCCCAAACTGTTTATCACCTATAAAAACCATCTTTCTAACTCATCACCATATGCCATAGTCACTCCCCCCAACTTCTCCTCCCACCAGCAGCCCCACCCCCAACACCAAATTCTTCTCTCTTAAGCTAAGTGTCTATATAGAGATTTCATATACATAAATATTTTGATTTTGGAAAAAAAAATGGGTAAAGATGTATTGCCATTCTTGTTGATGGTGATGGTGCAAGTAGGTTATGCAGGCACAGCTATCATATCAAAGCTTGTAATGGATGAAGGCATGGACCCTTATGTTCACTTATCCTATCGACAAATTTTTGCCACCATTTCTATTGCACCCTTTGCTTACTTTTCGAGAGAGGTATTAATCTTATTCAAACTCTATGCAAAAACATGTTTCTTTTGATTTTTTCTTTTTTTTTTTGATATTTATATTGGAGCTTCAATTAATTCAAATTCGTGTGAGTTACATCTATTTAGGAGGAAATATTTTTATAAGATTTTTTTCATATTCGGAAGCTCGAAAGCGAGACCTCTAATTAAGGACCGAGGAATATTATTCATTTATGACCATTTGAATTAGGGTTTGATCATAAAGATTTCAAGGATGTAAATGGGCGTTTCTCTTAAAGATGCGAGCATACATTTAAAAATTTATTCCATCGATGTCGCCTTAAGTGCAGAAATAGCAACATGAACTAAATATGTTGTCCAACTCAAAAAAACTTGTGTCAAGTAAATTTTTTTTTTTTTCATACTCAAAATTGTATAGTGAAAGGCAGGAGGAATCTTTATGTCTATCTCCTCACAAAACTTGGTAAGAAACTATGTTTCTAAAATATATTAATTTCCGGATTTTCAAATATATTTTGGGATAGAAAAATTAGTCAAAGTACAGTCTGTACACACAATCACATGCATGGAGTACAATAACATATATCTTTAGTAATTAGTACTCAAAAAATCTCAATCAAAATATTCTCTAATTTTGCTACAATTACTATTATATCCCTTCTAAAAGGAAAAAAGGTATCGTTAATAATTTCGTAGGTACTAAAATCATAAAAAGAACCCCGATTATATATTCAAGTAATTTTTTTGAGCAAATTGCTCGAGGCCTATGTTTTTTTAATTGTCTTAATTTATGTGATCAATTTTATTTTTTTAATTATGATCAATATATATATATACACTTTTTAATTTTTTTAATTTTTTTAATTTTTTTATCTTTTTTGATTTTTTTAATATTTTTATTTAAAAAATTCCATCTCAACAATTAGCAAAACAACAAAAAAGTTAAAATAAACAAATAAAATAAAAATATTTTTATTTTTTTCTTAAGCTCAATTAAATACATAAATCTGGACAGAAAAGTAATTATTAATATAAAACTTTTCACAAATACTTTTCACTTACTAATTCAAATACCAAAACACATTTTTTTTAAAAAATTATTTTTAATGAAAAATATTTTTCATCTTAACACACGTGTTAGTAATTAATTAGATTAGATGTTTATCATTTTCTCCTTATTTTATTTTCATAATAAAATATTCATTGCTAGCATTATGATTGTGTTGACTGTTGTGTCCCATCACAGGAAAACAAGGCCTAAATTGACAATGTTCACACTTTTCCTAATTTTCTTGTGTTCTATTTTGGGGTAAGCAATCACTTATTTTAATTAATTTTTCAAAATCCTAATTTCCCTTTGTTTCCACATGATTAATACTAATTTTTTAATCAATCAAATTAGATTAAGGATTAATTAAATAATAGTTGTGTGATAATTGCAGGGTAACAGCAATGCAAATGACGTGTCTTATAGGATTAAAAAAATTCAACAGCAACTATTACAACAGCTATGTCTAATTTGGTTCAACAAATACATTCCTTCTTGCCCTCATTTTTGGGTAAGATTTTTTGACTTTTATGTTTTATGTAGTGAAGAAATGTAAAATAATTGACAAAATTAAATCACTAAAAATATACTAATTAAAAAGTTGAGTAATTATTTTAAAATAAATCTTGAATGGTAATCTGAAAAAAATCACAAGTGATTTATGAGATGGACAATTGGACTATTTATATGATATTGGGCAATTCTTATATTGTAGCCTAATTTTTGAGTTTGAGTTAAGATGGGCTGAAATCCACTTGATATCAGATTTTGACGCCGCCATTTAATTTGTGCCCCTTTTTAAATTTGTATGCATTTGTCGGTTTGGGATAGCTTGGATATGCGTGTCCAAAGTGGTAGCGACAAAATCGAAACGGATATATTTTCTGAAGTTTCATATGTGAACTTCAGTAAACATGTGATTGAAGTTCGATCTCTCTCTCTCTCTCTCTCTCTCTCTCTCTCACACACACACACACACACACACACACACACACACATATATATATATATATATATATATATATATATATATATATATATATTATGCGACTTCGGGCAATGCATGAATTTCACTCATATGTAATTAAGCGTTTTATCTTAAATTTGATTTGTTAAATTTAGCCGAGATGTGTATATTTAACGTAGGTATGAATAAATAAATAAATAAAAAGCGATGTGTTAAATGACGACCCAAAAGTGTTGACCATAAAAATTTAATTTTACCTTAATATGATATATCAGAAATGAACTAATGCAAATTCTTATTTTACCTAATGTTGGGGCCAAATTATGTTCTTTTGTGACACTCTGGTTGACACGCTAGGGCAGAAAGTGTTAGTAGTCCCACATTATTTGCGGGATCTTTCATTGTACTCTCTTTATATGATTTTGAGTAATACTCACTTTATGAACTACTTATTATGGTTGAGTTACACTCAAAATTCATTTTCAAAACTAGGTATCATAGTTAGACTATACGAATTTTCGTCTCGTGATATTAAGCCCCATATTATATATTATTCGGGCTTCAGTTGATAGGTCTAAACATGAGGGAGTGCTAGTAGTCCACATCGTATGACGCGTGATAGATAATTGATTCTTTTTGATGATTTTGCAATTATCTACATGGACTATCCATTTGAATTCAGTTAAACACAAAAATCTATTTTCTATTAACATATAACATGTCATCAAGTTACATTGATAGTACCAACCATTGTCTATCTGATAAATCTAATTTGTGTAAGCAACTTCATTCTCTATAGTCTTGAAAAGGTTGGGCTGAGAAGTAAAGCAGGACAAGCCAAAGTGTTGGGGACAATAATGTGCATTGGTGGAGCTATGTTGCTATCATTATATCATGGGAAAGTTGTGATTGGCAAATTGGGAATTCATTGGAAATATTCACAACATAATACATTAGGCAAAAATAATAACAGCCATGGCAACTTCTTCAATGGACCCTTTCCGTCATAATCAGCACTATGGTTTATTCTTTATGGTTAATCATACAAGTAATATTGCTAATCTTTCTCTTAATCAAATTTCTACTCCCTTTATTTCAATTTATGTGACATAATTTGAATTTAGAGTCAAATTTTCCAATTTTCACCCTATATTCGGACGGCGTAAAATTTAAAGTGAAGGGTCAAAAACACGCTTTAAACTATCCCGAGATTTTTGAGCTACCCAAAAATAGTAGGTGTTAAGCACTACTCACATGACGCTCGCGAAAATCTTTATTAAAACACACCTCAATTATTAGTTGCTCACTTTTATCCTACACAGAAATATCACCAACGTTCGGAGTGAAAAGGAACAGCGATAGTTTAGGTATTTACACAAACATTTGGTGATAGTTGAGCAAAAAAGCTTAGGCAGCACGATAGTTCAGTATGATACAAAATCATAATACTTTAGATGTGTTTTCACCCTTCACTCTAAAGTTATATATATTGGAAACACATAAAAATTAAGTCCCATAAGACACAATAATTAACAATTAAAAATATTTTTAATTTTTTCTTTTTTTAAATTATTTGAATTTTAATCATCAAATGAAAAAATGCTACACATATATTGGGACGGAAAAAGTACCACTTATGCTTTTGTTTTTGTTCTTATTTTTTATTTTGGTGTTAGCCAAGTGTTAATAAGGTATCTGGCTCCATATTCTAGCACAACATTGATGTTCTTCATGGCAAGCTTAGAATGTGTAATTGTTGCAATTTGTGTTAATCATGACAAAAGCGCACACAGTCTTTGAATCCAATCGAGCTATTTAGTTCTTTTACAATGTAGTACATCTTTTTCACTTTTCATATTCATATATTTCAAATTTTAAATAATTTTTTATATGCAAATGAAAATCTATAATATAAACTATATTATATATTACTTTAAACATTTTTAGGTCTAAAAGATTTCTCTTATGTTGAGCATGATTCTTTTATAGTTCATGCGTTGTTAAAAAGCTAACTCTATTCGCAATAACTATTGGAAGTTGGCAAGTTGCCTTTGGGTCGCTAATCCAACCTAGGCATGGGATCAATTTCTAAGGCTTCTGTTACTCGATTCGTCCTTAGACAAGCAATAGACATATAGTTCTATCAATATTGAGGTGTGAAAGCATAAAAAAAAGAAACGAACAATATTTGTTAATACTCTAAAAATAAACATATAATACGCTCATAGAAATTTTTTTTTTATTTATAAATTAATCATTATATATATATATATATATATATATATATATATATATATTTCATAACACTTCAAGTAAATATTCTAATGATAAACGAATTGTCTCGCCG